CTAATCTCGGACTACTCTTATCAGACCGAATAATGGGAGTTGACTGTTACTCTTATAAAAGTGTATTTTATGGGCAAGATGTGACAAAAACTATATATCCTTTCGTATAATGAAAATAGGTTGTTAATTAATGACTGAGGTGAGTTATGGAAATTAGAATGTCAAAGTCTGTCAACAGTTTTAAAATATCGAAATAATGCAACATTATTGAATCATGGGGAATGAAATAAATATACAAATTAAATGTTTATCCATAACGATTAGTAATAGCCTAAGCTGTGTCATAAACTGCAAATAATTATATATATATATATATAATCAGTATAAACTGTTATAGTAATGAAGTGATTTTATTGCAGTTTTACATTTCCTGAAAAGAGCTTATATTTCATGTGGTAAAAGAAATCACTCGGAAATTAGTCTTGTTTTTCCTTCGTACCATGTCATTTTTTTTCCATACCTTTCACAAATATTACATATTATTTACAAGAATATTACATGATTAATGAAAAGCCGTAAGCAAACACATCCCACTCCAAAAAGAAGAAGAAAAAAACTGTTCAGATTAATTGGATTTCTACCAATAGACCATACACGTTTTATATCTGAATGGTTCTTAAATATCTGAGCCTTACCTCATTCTATCCTTCACTGAGCGCTGTAACTTCTCAGTAGTTATCCAGCTGAGATGACAATCACATGTCCAAGGGTTGCCAGCCAGATCCAGATGTTTCAGCGCAGCCCATCTTAATAAATGTTCCGATAACGTAGTCAAGCCATTATGATGTAAATAAAGGTTTTCAACCGTGACAGCTTCTTTTGTATCTTTCCTCCGAAAAGCATTCACATCAATACTGCGAAGGGACGGGTTGAAACTGCAATGTAGTTCTTTTAATCCAGATATTCCATAGAAAGCAGATTGGTGGATCATAACAAGTTCGCTCATGTCTTCAAGGAATAGTTTCTCGAGGGCCGGAAGCTCAGAAAAAGCGAATGGCTTAATTTCACGAATAGGGTTTGCTGAGATGTCTAAATATTTCAACTGAGGAACATACTTCAGGACTGTAACTGGTACTTCGGTCAAATTGTTTCCAGAAAGAATGATATACAACAACTCCGGGTTATTTGAGAACAACTTAGAGGGGACATCCTTTAGTTTTGTCTTCTCTAGATAAAGAAACTGGAGTGAAGGAAGATACTGAAAACTATATGCAGAGATTGATATTAGCGGGTTAAAGTCCAGTCGCAATTCTCTCAAATTCAGAAGAGGCTGGAATATTAATGGAGAAAATGACCGAATCTTGTTTTTCCGGAGATCCAGATATTGGAGCTGACCGAGATTTAAAAACATACCTATTTCTAATTTCCATATTCTATTACTAGCTATCAATAAAGTCTTCAGATGAGAGAATTTAGAAAACGCAGAATTCGCTATGAAGTCAATATTGTTATGTGATAAGTCAATCAATTCCAGTTCCTGACCATGAATGAATGATTCTGAAACAATTTTCTCTATTTGATTATTTCGAAAGTTAGCTTTGTAAACTGTTGGTGGGAACAGAACACCTAAAGGCAACTTTTTTATACCCCTGTTACTACATTTTACCACAGTTTCATTTTGGAGTCTGGGACAAATACACTCAAAGTCTTCACAGAGAACTTCGTAACCTGGTTTCTTATAGAGTTCATTGATTGTTTGCCCATGAGATAGAAAACCAGCCAACCAAAAGGTTATTATAAATGCTATAAAACCGTTTCTCGTCATTTTGTGTCAGGTATCTTAAAATCATAGACCTAAAAAGGAACAAATAAATCTATGGAATATAGAATAAACGTTTAATTTTATTTTGATGCTCGCATGTAAAATTTTTAATATAACGAAAAATTAAAGAGATAGTCTGATAGCAGCATTTTAGTGTCAGAAGTATTTGAAAAACATAATAATTATACAACTCAGTAATGTACAAAAACCTATGCTACAGAAGTTATTTATTTGAAAATAAAACTTCTCAATGGTAGATATACTGTTCTGAAGAAATTAGCCTGATATTGTACACATTTGCCGATTTTTGAAAGATCTCATACTGTGGGTTCGAGAAACCTCTTCTTCTGTGATATTATTTCTAGGTATTTGATCTGAATATATTAATCATAGTCCCACTAATATGAAATACCTAATGAAATACTGATATCTGTAATTAAGGCGTACAAAAAACAACAGAAAATACATAAATTTTAAATTTGGCATATATATTAATTATAATTTTGTATAATAACGTTTACTTGATATAAAATATCTTTTGACAAGTACTAATTATTTCAAAGATTATTTCTAAATTACAGCTCAGTGTGACGTAACATATACAGGCGATCTGTTTATGTCTGGTGTAGAATTCAGTTATTCAATCAATGAAGTTTTACGTTTGCAGACCTATACAGTTATTATCCAAGATGTGCGATTCTCTAAACAAGAAGCACTCTTGTTTTTTCAGATGAACAAGTATAGGAATAACATTTTTAGTTATTAATAAAAGATCCCATCATTACTTTACGTGAGGTCTTAGCTACCTACACTATTAGAACCTAGTGAGCTTCCAGTAGGTCAACGCTGAAACTTGTTGTTTTCTACCTTATTGATGGTTTAAATACAAACTGCTCACATCAAATCACTTATATTAGAACACTGAATTGTTTAAAAGTATTTTTGTACAATTGTATTTACGTACGAGATAGTTATTGATGCATAAGAGATTATATATTAAAAGATGTAATTTGTTTGTAATATATGATCTAAGAAATTTATAATAAAGTGTGTCATTAGGGAAGTTTAAGTTATCAGTCAAATTTACTTTCTTTTCTTTGGAATAAAAAGGTATTTTACATCATTTCACATTCAAAGAAAAATCCACAGCTAAATAAATATGTCAAAGATTCACTAACGTAAGCAAAATTGTTCTAAATATCATGTAATTCCTAGCATAATCTCTGTATAAATTATCAAATCATGACTAAAAGTATTGCATAGCGGGAGGAATATCCCTCTTTACTGCGGCGATGTTGGTTCTCTTGTAACCAGAATGCCAACAGTCTCATCCTATATATAAAAGTTAGAAGTATGTGCACTTCATTATATATTCATAAAGTTTAATCAGTAGTTCCGATAATTTAGCACTATACACGTATACAGGCCTGACATCGCCTGGTGTTAGGGGGTTTGCTTCGCAATTTGTAGGTCGCATGTTTGAATCCCACAACGAACATGCTCGCACATTCAGCATTATAATGTGGCGATAAATCACACTTTTCGTTGGTAAAAGACTAGCCCAATAGTTGATGGTGGGTGGGTTGATTAGCTGCCTTCCCTCTAGTCTATCACTTCTAAATTAGGGACAGTAGCTTTACGAGAAATTCAACGAACAAACAAACAACTACACGTATGCTGTTCAGTTAGTTTGTCTATAGTATCTTCAAAAAATGATTTCCTAAGTTTTAAATTTTCGTTCAGTTTCGGATCAACTGTTTTCTGCACTTCAATATTCCCAGGTAACTATAGAAACAAAAAAATATAGTCTAGAAAATAACGTGGTGATAATTGTCTCAATGCGAGACAGTAGGCCTGTTTAAAACTATAATAATTATTGCGTGGAGCTACTTTACAGATGCTTTAAATAAATTATTGTTACGTTATTTTAAAAGTATGTTGATAAGTTATGTTTTTTAATAATGGTAAACAATAACTACCTTGAGAAGGAAGAATCGGCTTACAAGAGGAATAAACCTGGTCTCTCACACATATCTGATTCTGCTGTTCGTGTGAAGTATCAGTTGCTCAGTTGGATCTAGAAGCACTGTTTGGACTTTGATCGATCGTTAGAAATTATATCCAAGCTTTTTCTTCTTTTATAGATAAACGAACAAACAATCACTCAGAATTCAATGATTACTCGTTATCTTTTTGTGTTACAAGTTAATAACGAAAACATTGTTTTCTGAAGTAGTTTGTTTAGGAGAATTCAATCTTTTCTTCGGAGTTTAGCCTACAATAATAGCTAGTGCTTTTATAAAAATCCCAGGAATAATATAGTTTGTTGATACTGCAATCTATTAGTTTTACTAAAATTCAAAGATCTGGTACATGAAACTACTCATCAGATTTTCCGAATTAACAACAAGCAATACAACACAAGTATAGAAATATTGTTTCTCACAAACATTGCCATTACAAATTATATGCAGCTAGCCTATTTTAGTGTAGTAGATTGCATGCAGAAGAATATAGCTTCATATAAAGAAATAAGTCATAATGATAACGCAATATTTATATTACATATCACTTTCGCAAAAATGAATTTTATGAAATACAAATGCGAAGAACAATTGTTTTTAATGATGAAGAAAACATCATTCTGTTGACTCAGAATCTGCATATGTTCGTTAGCATAACTGCCATGAGTGCCATTATTTTTGTGTAGATTACTGACACTGATGGCTGAGATGCAGTCCCAAACGTGTACTGTTCTCTCGTAGTGCTCCACTGTAGATGTTGTGCATTAACTGTTGATACCATTTTCATCTCTGCTGTCATATACATTGTCATTGATTATTTTCAAACAATCCAGTCTTGAATTTACCCATAAAGAGTACAAGTCAACAGCTTTGCTCATACTACTGTTTGTGTTCTGATGCCCATTTAAACATTTCGAACAGCAGGTGAATTTTCAGCAGCTACTAATCCATTGAGGCCACTTCATGCTAATGTGTATCTTACAATCTTTGATGTAATATTCACACATATATATTTACGACAAGATCGTAGGCAAGATTTCATTCTCTATCTCCTAAAGAACATACCTGAGATACTTAACATCACCTTTAGTGTTTTAGTTTTCTACCTTGACCACATCTGTTATTCATGTGTCAAATACCTCTGTTGCATCTCCTGTTAGGAAAGATTTCAAAGTAAAACGTATATGTATTAAAAAACATCCTGTTGTGGAGAAAAGGTGGTGGTTGAATCATGCCTCTTTTAACATATAAAAAACTGCTTTAATTGATTTTCGTTATTTTTGTCTTGAACATGGTGAAAAAATTTGATATTACATGTTTATTATTAATTGTTTTATTAATTTACAATGACAAATTATTGAAGATTGACACCAAAATAATTGTTGTTAACATAAACGCTCAATTTTGTATCTTTTCTAAATATTTTGTTTATATTTTTTGCTTTCAAAATTAATAAATTCGTATATAGTAGCTCAGAAAACAACAGTAATTTTTAACACACTTTATGTTGCACCCTGAAAATATCTTGTTTATCATTATGCCATTTTTAAGGTCTCCATAAGAAACAACTATTTTTTTTAAAACCAATTAACAAATTGTCAGAAATGTTATCCTCTTGTTCACATGCATCAACGTTTTTCTTCATATACACTACTTGTAGCACATTTATAGGTTTCACATTTTCAAGGTATAACTTCTTTAGTTTCGTTTGAAGTGAAGGATCCAAACCTATCTAAATTTTCCTCTAACCATGACTCTCCAGGTTTGCTACTTCACGAATTTTTTACTTACATAGATCAGAACTATAAGTTAATCCAGTAGTGAATACAGCTAATTTAACACACCATCCTTACTTATCAGGCAGGTGATAACAGTGCCTATGCAGGGATGGTTCGGACTGTCCATCAAAAATTGTCTTTTAAATAACTAATCAAATGGTCATCAGAACTTTACAATACTATACAATGTTTCCTTTTATAACAATACCTATGTAATGACTGAGCCTCATGTTCTGGAAATATCTGTAGATATCATAGGCAAAATGATAACTCAAAAACCAAAACAATGATGTCACTAAGGTGACATAATTTCAAACGGAGTATCCGCTTTTCTAAGTATTATTAAAACTGGTAATCATAATTCTAGTGTAAATGATGCTACCACTGTAAGTTAGTTTTTACAGAAATTTGTCGTTCCTTTAAAAAGCTAAAGTACAGAATGTTTGTTTGTTTGTTTGT